AAAATATATTTGAGTATATTATTTTTCAAAGTGTCAGAAATGGATAACAAAACTGCTATTTTCAATGACTACTTATTTTTTTCCAGCTTTAACATCGGTATCGGTTATCGGCTACATGAGCTTTAAAATATCGGCATATCGGATATCGGCCAAAATCCCAATATCGTGCATCCCTATATTTAACGTGATTAGACCGGAAAAAAGGTCTGGAGAGAGAGTGAAAACACGGGGTTCTCACCAGCATATTTAAGCGTAGCGGGCTGCTACACAGAAATTTAGGCCCCTACGCTCAGATTTTTCCTTGCTACATTCAAAAACTGCTCATAAAATGTCCTGATGAGAATCCTGAGGATGCTGCAGTTGTCTCTCCATGTTGGGACTTCGACCCAGGAATTCTGTGTGAGAGACAGGTATCCAATACGCGTTCCACCCCAACAAACAGATCAGAATGAACTGATGGAAAGATGGATGGAGCTAAATACAGAGCAATCATGAAAGTGAGAGGCTAAAAAAAACACTTGAGTCTAAGGCAAACTTTCACCTTCCATTTGGACAAAAATCTAAATATACAGTTAAAGAAACAACTCTAATATTACTCAAATCATATTAATGCATTAGAGTGGCCTAGTCAAAGTCCAGATGGAAATTTGTAAAAGTGTGAACATACTCAGACATCCGTTTAGAGAAGTTCTCCATGTAATCCTACAGTTTGTTATTTTGTGAAGAACTAGAAGCAAAACTTAAACCTTTGCACAAAGCTGGTGAAGGAATCCTGAGTAAAAATAGCAGCAAAGGTGGGTTTTTAAAACGGCGACAGAAAGAATGGTAGGGACTTTTATTGATGAAGAATTTTCTCATGATTTATCGCATAAAATCGACAAAATAATTTGGTAAAAGGTTGAGGGAAAATTGTGACATTTTCAAACCACTGCAATTCTTTTCAGTTAGCAGGAACCTCGACCTTATCAAGTAGAAAAGATAGAGAATGTATATATTACCAAGACATTTCGAGGACATCCGTTTAACTGCGGTATCTGAGCTGTGAGGCACGTCAACGGGCCGAGGGCACACAGGATGGAGTCCAGGAGAACTGACAAACTGCCAGACACCGCCACCATCCCCTAAATCATCAACACGTACATAATGCAATGCATACTAAGTTATGTTTTTATTAATGTGGGTAACAGTGGTGCAGAAGCTCACCTCTGTTTCCTGTAGCCGATGGCCAATCAGAGACAGGGACTCTCCTAACAGCTGCAGATGAGCTGCTGCGTCGATGGGGTCAACATCTGGCACCCGAGCCGGGGACAGAGACATGGTGCCAGGAGTTCTGGTTGGAGACACCAGCCCTGCCGCTGTTCCTGCAACTGATGGGAAAAGACACGGTTCAGACTGACGCCTAATAAATCCAACTATGACAAGATCATTTCCTTGTTACTTCTTGTGTTAGAAGAAAACATAGAATAAATGAGGCGCACAACATCAAATATGTTCTTTAAAACAGCCAAAAAGGCAGTAAAGAAAGAAAAGGTATATTTATAGATATTTTACGTCTGGCATTGAGGAGAGGCGGATCTTCTTGACTCAGAAATTAAGATTTAAAAAGTGTTCATTGTTATAAAGGAGTAGGAAGAATTTTTTTTCTTCATTTTCTATAGATGAAATGTGAGAAATAAGTGATGGTTACCGTACAGATAATGGTGGCTAATCGTTACAAGAATAAAGTGGAGATCTGTATTTATTAGAGACTGACATTTTTTGGGAATCCCACGGGTCACGGGATTCCCGTGGGATGGGAGTCAGTATTAGCAACGATCACGTGATTGGGACGGTACAGGATTAAACATTAACGGGAGCAAACCAATAGTAACTAAAAAAAACTAGGATCGATGCCAAAAAATAAAATAAAATAGAAAGGAAAAAATCCAGTACTGGCGCCGCCATTTTGTAGTTTTTTTTCTTTGAAGCCTACACTATAATGCGAGTCAAAAAAACTACACGACCCAAAAACCAACAGTGCTTCCGCTCTGAATTTTTCACCCGCGCTCAAAAACAATGGAGGGACCAACAGTTACTACAGTTAGAAACAGGAACTTAACTGACCCTTCATAGAAATTAAGATTCAATGTTTTGGCAAAAATCTTATTGAAGACAACAAGAATGGGAGTGGTGCAGGAGCGGGAGTCATTCTGAACGGGAGCGGGAGTAATTTCACCAGGAGTGGGACGAGACAGGATTTAGATTTCTACTCTGGCCCGGGATCGGGACACATTTTTTTTCTGACGGGACAGGAGTGAAAATCCACTCCCGTGTCAGTCTCTAGTATGTATGTATTTTTGTATGTATATATATTTACATAGTTTTAATGTTTTATTCTATTTTATGAACCTCTGTAGTCCAACGAACACTTATTCTATATCTTAAATCAGTTTTGAGGAGTTATAGCTGGTTTTATTTCTTTTTATATTTGTATTTTTCATTGTAGACTGCCTACTGTTGTGTTTTTTTTAGGTAGACAATTTTAAGATCTGTCCAGGGACAACAGATTGTTAAAATGAGAATAAATAAAAAATAGCCTTTTGGCTAATTCTGGTGCATTTGCAGGAATGCTTTTTAATGTACACTGTCCCTGTCAAATAAATAATTAAATTAAATCGCTCCCTTCCTCCGATGCAGTCTCTATCCATCCTTCACACAAGCTACCAAGTAAAATTTGCGGCTGTCATATTTAAAGCTTGTTAATGTAGATGTAAACACACTGAGGCACGGTGCTAAATCCAATCAGCAAAGGTTTCACTGACTGATAAAAAAAGAGGTTGTTACACACCACAGTCTGTGACCACCTTTAATATACATTAAATTATATTTTTCCTTTTATGAAAATCTTATTGTTTGCAGACAAGCAGCCGAAGAGTAGATTTGCAACCTCTGCGCTGTTTCACTCCAGTTGCAATGAAAGCCACCAGTGGCTGTTTTTTTTATTTTTTTATTTAAGCCCTTAAAGGATTTTTACACAGTAGGTTGAAATATATATATTTTTGTTTTGTTGTTTAATTCTACTTTAAACTATAAGTTAATTCACTAAAGACATGGTTGACATCCATAATTTAAACTTAAAACAGGCAAACAAAGATTACTTTTCCACTTATTTTTGTTCTAAGAGTGAAGTTTATGCGGTTTACATTTTAAAACCTTTTCCTGAGATCCCACAATATTTTTTTCCTGAGAACTGAAAATTAACATTTTTCTTTTAAACCTGACCACAACTTCTTCATATAACCTGATCACTTTTCCTGAGACCTCACACCTTTTTTCTCAGACTTTGTTTCCTGAGACTTGACAAGTCCCTCCATGACCTAACAACTTATATTGAGACCTGAACACTTTCTTGAGTCCTTACAACGTTTTTTTTTTTCTAAGATGTGAGCATGTCCTAAAACGTACACGTTACAGGTTATAGTCCAGTTGTATTTTGACACTTTTCAAGTGTACATACTGTATCCAGAGAGCGAAAATAGAGTTAAAGGATCCCTACAGCAGAAATACTTTGTATTATTCCCATAAAGAAAACCTCCCACATACCTTTAGTTTTGCCATCAGTCGAGGACTTTTGCTTCACAGTAGTGGCCTCAGCTTTGTTCTGTTTGTGCTGCAGATACTGGGCCTTCTGCCTCCAAACCTGAAAGGAAGGCAAAGCTGTTTAACCGTTGCTAACTTAGCAAGCGTCAGACTCCCTACATTCATGTGCTGAATCATGTTAAATATTTTCCATATTACAAGTTTTTAATCCTTAGTCAATTTAAACATAAATACCAAGGTTCCAAATTTCTTGATTTTATTTTTAGCGGGAAGACTTGGAACCAGCATCAAAGATAAATACAGGGATAAGGAATGAGGAATGTAAATATAAATATCTTTCCTTTTTCCAATAACAGAAAAAAATACTTTCATTAATCACACTGAAACACATGAAAACTTACTAGTTTATCTTTCTCAGGCATCGATTTCCACACCTCTGCCAGCCTCTTGCTTAGCTCCCCAAAATCTGCACATCACACACAGGAAGCATTGTTATAAGAGCTTTGAGATAAATCTAAAGGAACAGACTGCAAGAAGACTTTACTCACCTAAACCAGGCTGCTCTGCATTTATGTTGACCCGGTACTCTTTACAAAACACCTGGTATGCTGTCGTTGTCGTCTAAATCCGTAAAAACGACAATAGAACTCAATAATACCCACAGAGCTTTGCAATGATTTTCAGTTCGGAAAAAAAAAAAAAAAAAAAACTTGAAAAATGTTAACCTTTTCTTTATCTTTGTCGTGCTTTTCTCTGTCTTTATCCTCTTTCTTCTTCTTCTTCTCTGTTGTCCCGTCATGGCCTTGGTGGTGAGGAGTGACTGGTTTGTTCATGGCATACATTGGACCAACAGCACTATGGCTGACAGTAGGATGGGAGTGGCTGTGGCTTTTTGAAGATTCTGTGGAAAATGACACAAGGATGATGATATTATGGGCTATAAGAAGAACGCACTCCTCATGCATCTTGTATTGCTCTCTTTGTCACCCTTTAAGTATAACCGCTCATCATGTATTTCCACAGTAAACGGTAACCAGGACAGTGACAGTCGAAAAAGAAACGTTCAGGTCTGCTGCACTCATTTACATTTTAACCAAGCAGATCTGGATGCACACTTATTGACATTTAAATCTAAAAATTCATGCAAAGCAGTGCAGAGATAACCCAAAAGAAGTTTCAGTGTAATAAGCTTCTGCATGCTCGTCATTCTATTCCTACCTTTCAGTATCAGAGCATGTAAATGTTTAACTATAGTGTTGTCAGGAGTGGTCAACATTAAGTTAGAACTCAGGGTAATGACAGCAGTTGTTATGAAAGTAAAGCATTGGAAACAACAGAAATTCATGACAGTGGTGGACCTGATAACTGAGAGCGGATGCTGAGGTTCACGGTACCAAGAGGCAAACAACTTTCAGCCAAATCAGTCAGTACAGACCTCATTATCTGGCCTCCAGATTAAAGAAATCTATGCAATTGTNACGGTACCAAGAGGTAAACTTTCAGCCAAATCAGTCAGTACAGACCTCATTATCTGGCCTCCAGATTAAAGAAATCTATGCAATTGTATCTACGGTCAATATGCTTCCAATCCATACATGCCCAGGTGGAAAGCAAGCAGTGCTGTAAATCAGGCCTCTACTGCAGTCTAAAGGAGTGGAGGTGCATTCTCTGTAGTGACAAATTGTGCCTCTCTATTTCAAAATCTGATGGAGCAGTCTGGGTTTGGTGGTTGTCAGTAGGGGTATAAATCACATCCATCATGGCGATTCGATTCAGTATCGATTCCTGACCCAACGATTCGATTATTTTCAATACTCAAGAATACACCACGATACGATTCGATTAATTGCTTCATTTTTTTTTTTTCTTACCTTACATGCTAGACGATATTTCAAATTTGAAATAAATAAATGAAGGCTGTAATATCGTTATGCATTTTTTTTTTGAGAAACAACAGCAAATAACAGATGTAGAAACGTTTTACTCCACCTATTCCTATTAAAACCTCATTCACTGAAAAATAATAATATCCCTGCGTTATACATTCTGAAAGGCCGTGCATAAAAAAATACTGCACAAAATCAGTGCAATGAGTGCAATGCAAAACCTCGGCTCCAGACGCTCCGCTGCACCTCTCCCAAATTATAGCTGACCGCAGCTACAATTTTGTTTTTTTTACAGTTTTGTTTTTATGACTGAAATTGCGGAAAACAACTCGTGAAGTTGGACCCGCTAGAAGAGCGAGGTGCGGGAGAACACTGGGAGCCTTTTTCCACCTGGATCTCTCCTCTTTTTGGCCCTCATGTCCCTCCGTCGTCGGACTAAACTCGCCCCCACTTCCTCACCTCCTCAGCCGTATCTACACCCACAGCGTGTAGCACAGACCACGCTTCCATATTGAACATAAATAAAAAATGTCTGTGTCAAGCTCACTGCGACACACTGCTGTAAGAGTATAACCAGGAAGCGAGGTAGGAGGGCAAAATAGGTTTAGCGCCACCGCAGCACGGGAGGGAGAATTACGCCCAGGAGCAAATGGATAAAAATAGACCAGAGGAAAAAAAAAATGTGAATCGATGCATCAGATCGTCGGCTGTTGCATCGATACAAAACGATTATTATTTACACCCCTATTTGTCAGGAGAACATCTCATTTCTGAATGTGTTGTTCTGAGTGTAAAGTACATTAGGGGGGGTTATGTTGTTGGTCGTTATTTTGTACAATTTTGTGCTTCCAAGGTTGTGGAATTAATTTGGTGGACTGTTC